CTACAACCACGGGCGCGTTGGAACATTCATCCACGAGCATCCGGAGACCGATAGACCAGATATAGTGATTAATCTCGAACTTGCAAAGGAAGTTCTGCACTGATCGATTTCTAGGTACTTGGCGTGGTGGCAGGTCTGGAATACCTCCACAGGAACGTCGTCGTCCACGGGGACTTGAAAACAGTACCAGCGATTTCATCACTTGCACACTCTTTTTATCTCATGTTTACGGCACAGCAAAATGTTCTTGTGGACGAAGGAGGGATTCCGAAAATCAGCGATTTTGGCATCACCAAGATACTCGGGTCTACAACACGCAGCGTCGGTACACCACCATATATGGCCCCCGAACTGCTCATACCCGTCCATTCCAACGGTCAGTGGAAAGAAGAAGACTTACATCCAACCACAACGAAAAGCTCTGATGTGTATTCCTTTGCGCTCCTGGTCCTTGAGGTGTGTGCATTATTCCGTTGCAGAACTCAGGGCTCGTTTTGACCAGATCCTGACTTCGGCGGTCCCGAAAGGAAGACCGAGCCGTCCCTTCATTGACGCCCAAGCAATCCACCAACTCGAGAAGACTACGATAACGGAGTGATCACAGACGAAATCTGGTCGGTTCTTGACCGCTGTTGGGCATTCGAGCCGCACGCCCGACCTAATATATCCGATGTATTCAGCCAGCTGAGATCTGCTTTCCACACTAAGGGTTTTATCTTGTAGCACAGTTTCTCATCAAGTATATCATTTTTAATAACAGCATTTGGGATTGGGATGGCGTAATTGCACAGCGTTGGACTTTAGTCCGGCCACTGGCCGAAATAATCTCCGAGAGAAAAGTTGCCTAAAATAGCGAGCTGGCGGTGCAAGTATGGGGTGGTATGGCTGCAGCGTCAATTACATCAGCACGTCTCACCAGAAGTCCCTGTAATGTCTTCACCTCCACCACTGCGCCATCCAGTCCCTACGCACCCTGCTTACATTCCCGAGCCTCCAGCTACGCCTGGCTCGCCCCAGGGATACCAGCGCTTCACATCGTCCCCTCAGCCCGGCCAATATGTTGCTCCTTCGCACGTCCCTGCGTATACCTCTCCATTCCAGCACCAACAGCAGCAACCACCACAACCCCCACATGGTGCTCATGGTCATCCGCAGGCCCCGCCCATGATGCCGCCGCCGCAATTTGGCGCGTGGGGAATGAACGACGCGACCGCCCAGTTTGGCATGCAACTTGGCCAGAGTGCCGTTGCAGCGGGTCAGGATTACGTCCAGCGGACGGTACGTGAATCCCGTTTTCACAGTATTGAAATCATCTTATTTTCTGCAGTGGGGCGGCGTGCTCCCCGGCGGTGCGCGTGTCAAACCGCACTTCAACGTGTCCAATTCGTATGTCATACGGAAGCTGCGCATCGTCCTCTTCCCATGGATGCACAAGCATTGGGGAAGAAACTCACACCGCACCGACGCTGGCCAGACAGAATGGCTGTCACCGCGCGAAGATGTCAACAGCCCTGATTTATACATCCCGCGTGCGTTCCACTAAACTTGCACCGCGTAAAATTTGGCTCACTTTTCCTCAGTAATGGCCCTCGTCACCTATATTCTCCTGTGCGCGCTACACTCGCGAAACCCCCAGGCCCTCGGCGAATCGGCCTCGCGCGCAATTATGGTCGTCGTGCTCGACTTTGTCTTTGTCCAGCTCGGCTGCTACTTCCTCAATGTACAGGCTACGAGCCAGTCCATTGACATTGTTGCGTACGGCGGGTACAAATTCGTGGGGTGAGCTTCTCCGTCATATTTGTTGCGCGTATGGCAATTGAACTATTTTCCTTCGCAGAGTCATCCTCACCCTCTTGGCCGGCTTTCTCCACCTCGGCCGCACACTCGGTCTCCTCACCTTCATCTACTTTTTCCTCGCCAACGCGTTCTTCTTGATGCGTTCCCTCCGCTCGCTCGTCCTCCCCGACGCCGCCTCCCGTGCCGCATCCGCCGACCCCTACGCGACCACTCCCTCCGGCTCCCAGCGCCGTCGTCGAATTGCCTTTCTCCTCGTCGAGGCCGCGTCCCAATTTGTCTGGATGGGCTTCCTGGTGCGGATATGAACGCTGTACATAGACCCAAAATGCATGGCGGTGTCAAGCGACGTTAATATATTCTTAGTCCCAACCGATAGAAGTGGGCGCGCTATCTGGCGCACTAGACTCGATTTATTTAAGACATCCGTCTAACATCGCTGACGAAGGATTGATTCATGGTACACGTTTTTTTACATACATTTTTCTTCTTACACGCCCTCCTCTTCTCTTCAAAATGTCGCATGTCGCCGCCTTGAAGTCTTGATCGGCGTCCTCACAACGCGGTTAGGTTCTGACAGAAGTGTACACACCCAGGTTCGCGCGGAACCTCACCGCCTCGCTGGCGGGCTTGACCTTGAGCGGCTTGACGGTCGGCGCGCCGACCGCCTTCGCGATGCGGTCCGACAAACTCTGGTCAACGGCGGCCCACACGGACACTGGCGACATGCAATCAGACTTGACTTTGGACGCAAACAGGCGGTAAAAGAACATACGCTGGCGCTCGCGAATCTCTTTGTTCTTGACGCCCTTGAAGTGGCTGGCGACATTCTGGACATACGCCTCCCTCTGGGCATCGTTCCACACCTTCTCCCACAACGCGCGAGGCTGCTCAAAGTCGACTGTAGCGATGATGAGATGGATATGCGCGGAATACGGAGAAGATACGTACGCTCGGTGACCTCGCTGAGGTCGCGGAAGGCGGCGCCGATGAACGTCTCGTGCTTGGCCTCGCGCTCAAAGTCGCGCGCGCCGCCCTCGAGGGTGCCGGGCTCGCCGTGGTACCTGAGCGGAACGATCGTGCTCTGGTAGTTCGGGCGCGCGCCCTGCGACACGAACGTCATCGCGCCATCGCGCTGGAAGTTTGCAACAGGGTTGACGGGCGAGTTGACGGGCAGCTGCTGGTAGTTCGTGCCAAGGCGGTGGCGGTGGGTATCCGGATATGAGAACAGGCGGGACTGCAGGACGGGGTCCGCGCTGGGCTCAATGTACGGGACAAGGTGCGACGGCGAGAAGGCGGCCTGCTCGATCTCCGCAAAGTAGTTCTGCGGATTCTCGTCGAGGACCATTCGGCCGATTTTGCGCAACGGGAACTCCTTGTGCGGCCACACCTTGGTGAGATCTAGGATGTTGTATCGGAACTGCTCCGCCTGTTCAGGCGTCATGGTCTGGATAAAGACGTTCCATGCGGGTGGGTAGCCCGCCTCGATCGTTTCGAAGAGGCTCTCGATGCCGTAGTCGGGGTTCTCACCCGCAAGCTTGCCAGCCTCGGCGTTGCTGAGTGTCCTGAAGCCGGCCTCGGCGCGGAGGTGAACCTGGGTGTAGACGAATGATCCGTCCTTCTTGAACCACTTGTAGGTGTGGCCAGAATAGCCGTGCATACGGTGGTAGCCATCGGGGGTGCCGCGGTCACTGAAGAGGATCATGATCTGGTGGATGGATTCGGGGTTCTGACCGAGGTAATCCTGGATACGATCGCGCGTTAAGATGCTAATCTTGGCGCCTGGAGGGCGTCAACATACCCAGAACATGTCAGCATCCTTGAGATGAGTCTGGGGGTCACGCTTCTGGGTATGGATAAAGTGGGGGAACTTTGCGGGGTCACGAATGAAGAAGACCGGTGTGTTGTTGAAGACCCAATCCCAGTTGCCGTCGTCTGTTCTAATCTTGATTGCGAATCCACGGGGATCGCGTGCAGTGTCGGCAGATCCAGACTCGCCACCCACAGTGGAGAAGCGGACGGTAACCTTTGCCTTCCTGCCCTTCTGGCACAGGAAAGGGTTGGAGGTGATATCGGTGAGGTCTTCTGTGATCTGCAAGGTTCCGTGGGCTCCTGCACCCTTTGCGTGGACCTGGTTGATTCTGTGAGAAGAATTCGGAGCTTGAGTGGGTTGAACGTACGACACGCTCGGGAATACGTTCGCCTCACGTCTGGAGTGGGTAAAGCAGTCGGTGAAATTGTAGAGACAACTTACGATCAAAGTGGGCCAAAAGGTCGATGTGGTGGAAGTCTGGCTCTGGGTGTGAGGGTCGATAGCTCCCCCATACTAGGCACACCTACCCTGGAGCAGAAGGGGCCCGAGAAGACCGAGGCGCTGAGCGGCGTATGGCTCAGAGACGGGGGCACCATTCGAGGTTGTATAGTGGGCCGACTCGGGGCCAATTGTCATGATCGTCTTGGAAGGCATGGTGGTAGAGACAGAGGTGTGGGCAAGTTAATAATTCGGACTATTCTTTTATAGCTTTACCCCAGACTCTTACATACCAGATTTATCTGATTGGCTAACACTAATCAATTCACCTGCGCGTCATTTGACCAACTTATGTCTTCCCCATGTCGTACCTCTCCGTTCTCGCTCGTTCTGGATGCCCGATGATCGCCATTTGAGCCTTGTTTAATTATACTCTCACTCTCGATGTGATCCCGAAATGACCTCAACCCAGCAACATTTCTCTTAAATGAAGACCCGGGGGCTCCAAAATCCTCTGAGAACTTCCCGGAACTCCTCTCACCGACTTCTCGAAGTTACTGTGGAAACGCAAAAGAATTTCTATCTCAAATTTCAATTTCTATACCAAGCTCACTAATTAACAATAAGTAATGGATGGCGGCGTCTATACCCGGATGGATTGCCCGCGGTTCGCCGCAACTCTCTGACTCGGACGTCGAAAACGTTAACCTGGTGCGCGTGAAGAAAACACGAGGCAGAAGTTGAACCGGTCGATTCTCACGTCGGGCCGGCGCCGCGGGAGTCCTCAGAAGGACAACTTGCCCATAATGGTTGGACCTGTCCTGAGTGGTAATTATCATAGCCACACCACCAATTCAATTGTGAATTTTGAATGTTTCCATGTCCGTCTTCTGAAAGGTTTGAGGCGTATAGAGTGCAGCGTCATATATATGCCTGGGCAAGTGTGGCGGTCAGGTCTTGACTAGTATATCGGTTCAGTACACCCGCTTGTCATGGTGCAAATCTTCGATCGCGGGAGAGCAGGGTTCGACTCCCTGGTCGAGAGTATTTTTCTGATTTTCGTTCACGGCCTACTTTTTCAATATCCTGTCCGCCCTCGCGTGAACGAGTAAGGTTTGTAAACCATGTCCCATCTCCTTGTAATTTGTCTTTTTTCGCCCACCTCTTAGGTACAAGACACCTAATTAATTCAAACATTATCTCCATTCACTCCAATAGTATCGTCCTAGACAGGCCCGCAGTAAAATCTTCGCCACGATATAAGGATGGAACGCGTCGATCGAGGAAGCAAGCCCCATCGACGAGTTGTATATTACCAGCCCGGCGTGGTCATCCTGTTCAATCGATAGGTGAACATGGATGTATGTTATTTGTTATTATAAACCCGCGTACGATGAGTGCAAGATGCTGAAGCTGCTTGAGGTACCGGCGCAGGTACGCGCCGGAGGACAGCTTTTCGTGTGGGAGTGGTTCCGTTGTAGGCACGCCGTAATCTGCAAAGGAAGAAGTGTTGGAAATAGATTTGCTGTTGTAATAATTATACAGCGCACCCATTAGACGCGTGTTTTGCCAGGCCAGGTCGGTCTTATCAAACTGCTCCGCGAAGAACTTGGTTGAAAAATCGGAGGGCAGGGTCTTTCCGGATGTTTCCTGTGCGGCGCGCAGAACATTGTGTAGGGAAAGGGCGCAGCGGAAGGCCTTCGTACAGCCTTCACTAAGGAGAGTTAGGATGCAAGAAAGCGAGTTAACATGATGGGCACTGACGAAAAGAGAGGATTCACTGCTCCGGGATGAGCACAGGCAATGTTCGGATAGGATAAGCACGCACGTGTCATCACGCTGTCCCCAAGCGCAACATAATTGGAGGGTAGGTTGAGCCCCTTATGATACCGAATGTAGGATGTTGGTGCTGGTTGAAATAGAAAAAAGAAAAAATCCATACATTTCAACCTAGATGAACACATACCCAGTTTCAGAAGGGAAACTACAGCCGAGTCTTGGACCTCTTTCAACATGTCCAACAATTCGAAAACCCACTCCGGAATCGGCTTCACGGCGAACAGTCCCCGGACGTACGTCCTGAGCTCCGCCAAATTTTTGGGTTGTTCTCGAGCCGTCCCGTGATGGCCGGCAAAGGCCATAACTATGAAGAGTGAGGATGGTTAAACAGCGGTAAATTCAACACCGACGTTGATTCCCTTCCGGGCGTGTCAAGACGAAGAGCCCATGTCCCTTGGCATCGATGAACGTGTATATTGGCCGAGTATCCCACAAATCTGCCGTCGGAAACGGCAGCTGGTCATGGAAGGCGGGGGAGATACGGAAGAGCATGGATGAGCAGCGAAGTTTCTGGTCGAACGAGATTTTCAGCTCGTTCAACGGAAGCTTCCCGGCGGGGTATGCAGTAGCGTAGCCGTATCCGTTGCGCTCCAGCCATTCCAAGCCCGCGCACGCGGGGCCGGTGCAGTCTAGTTTAAAATCAGTAAATATATGGATGGACGAGAAATTGTGATTGAACCGGCAACGAGGGCGGCCTCGAACTCCTGCACGCCCGAGTCCGTTCGGACGACGACTTTGTTGAGACGCGAGTGGTCCGCCGGGTCGGGTCGGACGTCCGTAACGGTTCGAGTAATGAACTCGATGTTGGGATACGCGTCCCGGTTGAGGACGAGACGTCTAGTGCGAGGTAAGGTCCGGGTAGCATGCGCGAACGAGTATCTGACGAACCTGAGAAGGGTCTCGAATCCAGGTCGACCCACATACATCGTCTTCGGGAGACCAACGTATTTAAAGGCGGACCACGGGATGCGGAAGAGTATACCGGAGAGATTCAATCTCGGGTTGGATGGAAGCACTCTGGAATCAAGGATGAGAATAATAATATTGGAGAAGACGGGGGCTTCTGACGGAATATTGGATCGACGACATTCCTCCTCGATGTTCGGAAAGAGGTTTTCCAGTCCCTGGTATAAAAAGGATTGACAAGCTGTATAAATTCAAGTCAGCGTTATTCTAGGTGTCACAAATCATGAGCACCATGTAGAGAATTATACTGGACAACACGGGAGCGCTTTAGTCTCTGGTCCCATCCATCAGTTTTGCGGCCCTCCTCCGACGCGACCCAAGCCTCGGCTTCGACGATAAGAACGCGCTCAAAATGAGCGTGACAGACGCGGGCAGCCAGAAGCCCTGCAATGCTGAGTACACCATGACTGCCGAGTCGAGTGCATCGAGAAGCGTGAAATTACCTCCCACCGCAAATGAGCGCCGTTCCTGGGATCTTTTTTGTCGTTCCGCCGGCGGTACTTTAAATCTTGGAGGTCCTCAAGTCCAACGTTTTTGTCAAGGAGGTGACGACGTAGGAGATGCCAGCAGAGTAGTAACACTAAGTAGGCTGCTCCAACACTGAGGAGAATTCTAATCAGCATCAAATAGGGGAGCTCAAAGTTAAGGGCTACGGCGTAGTTGCCTGCAGTGACACCGCCACCGGCCACTCGAGTATGTAACATTCACGGACACCCGATCCACTTGTCGACGACCTACCCCGGCGTGAACCCGTCCAACTCGACGATCAACACGTTCCTCGACTGGGCGTAGGTGCAGCAGAATGGTGTGTTGTGCATTTTTGTCGAATCGCGTGGGTGAAGCAAGTCGCCACCGGCACACAGGCGCGCTACGAACTGCTCCACGCCGTTCTGGGACCCCGTCACAGGCAAGTGCCTCTGCACGTCGAGCAAGTGCGCGTTCACGGACACGTCGCGGCCCATCCGCGCGAACGGCGCGAACCTCACGGGCGGGGCCACGGGCGGCGTCTCGGACGGGAGCGCGACGGCGACGGCGTCGTACGTGCCGTTCAACGGCAAGGGGTACGCTGCCCGCGGGCGTGTCGGCGGCTGCGTTCGTCGGCGCGCTCGGTGCGCTACTCGGGACGCTCGGCGTTGTCGGGCACCTCTGAGCGCGCTTGCATGTCTGTTGACGAACTTACGATTGCCCCGGACTTGAACAGACTTCTTCATATTATAATACGTATCAATTCGTATTTGGGCCGCCTGCACGCCTCCCACAACGCGTCTCGCTCCACTCGCATTCGCATCCCATCCGCACAGCCTAACCATTCTCTTCGTTCTGTCGTTACCATTGGATATCATATCATACGGACACTATTCTAAATTCTAATCCGCGCTGGGGTGTAGGTGTATCATATTAGCAGAGTGGTGCTTCGTCGGTTGGCCAGTCGAGCAGGCGCTTTTGAGGTGTGTTGACTCTCTGGGTTCGGATTCAGATTTTCGCCGTCAAAGTGGTTTAACAGGCAGTACGCGAGACTAGTCAAAGCGGCGGTTATGCAATCATCCGCGAATTGACGCTTTGACCCAACTTTGACCCTTCCTTTGACCTCTTCTTTCTGACTTTTAGCGCTTGAGCAACCACCGCGGGGCGCTCGGGCCAGGGCTGCGCTATTTAAATCAATGCGTCTCATCCACTGCATGATAACCTACTCGGCGAATTCCCTCGACATTCCTCCGGGCGCCACCACCTTGCCGTGCGGATTTGCACAACGTTCTTTGACTGCGCAGTCGCATCTACGCCATGACCCAGCTCTGCTCGCCGATACAAACAGCGCCCACCGAGCTTCTGACCGAGATATTCAAGCTCGCTATGCCGACGCGCGCAGAACTGAAAGCACTCGGCAAAGTGTCGCTCGACACAGCACCGTGGGTCTTCGGCCGCGTCTGCGCCAGGTGGCGCACAATAGCCCTCGATATGCCGACTCTCTGGACGTCCATCATCCTAGCGATCCCGTACGGAACCGCAGCCAACATCGCGCGTAGCTTCCCGCCGGCGCTCGTGCGCGAGCATCTCGCGCGATCGCGCACCCTTCCCCTCGACGTCCTCTTCACCTCCAAGGAGGAGTTTCCCGCGCTGACGACGGAGAAGGTTTTTGCGGTGATCGCGACGGCGGCGGCACGGTGGGAGGCACTCGAGATCGAGTCGCGCCAGCCGCTCGCGTTCGACCAGCTGCGCTGGAATTTGAAGCGGCTGCGGCGCCTCTGTCTGTGCCCGTCGGGCCTGGATCGCATCCCCCCGCCGCCGTGCGTGCGCGAGAGAGACAGCACGGGCGCGCTTCTCTGGCGGGACGTCGACATCGGCGCGTTCATCCCGTGGACGCAGCTCGTCGAGTACACTACCACAAGCGATGAGCTCGCCAACGTCGATCGCCTGCGCGAGGCGGCGGCATCGCTCGTCAGCTGCCAGTTCTCAGTTGACATCCTCTGGACGCAGCGCACGCCCGCCGTGACGGAGTTCAGCCGCCTCCGCAAGCTGACGCTCACGATCCGCTCGACGAGCTTCACGTCGCCGCCCTTCCTCTACTCTCTCTCCCTCCCTGCACTCGAGGAGCTCTACGTCGAGGAGCTCGGCCTCGGCGGGCTCCGCCCCCTCCTGCGCCGCTCGGGGTGCTCCCTGAAGAAACTCTGGTTCTACGGGCTCCTCCCGAGGGACGACTTTGTCTGGATCGCGGAGAACAACCCGCATATCGCAGAGCTCGGGATGGTGCAGGCCGGCGCTGGCAGTGGCATAGACCGCATCATGAATAATTTGCGGGTCGCTGCGGCTGATGCGGAGCCGCTTCTCCCCGCGCTGCGCGCGCTCCACATCCTGGGCACTGAGCCGTATTTCCAGTCCATTTTTGAGATGCTCGAGTCGCGGATGGAACGGGGGGCGCCGCTGCAGGTGCTTTCGATGCATCTCCCGCGGGAGCCGAAGCCCCGGTACGCGGCGATGACCGCGCGACTCAAGCCCCTCAAGGATGGCGGGCTGGAGGTGCAGGCGATGAAGAAATTACCCGGCGGCTACGATCTCGTTCACTTTCTCTGAATCGCGACGCAGGCGCTTGCTTCAAGACTCTTTGCGCAATCTGCTTGACTTGATTGTGACTTCGGGAAATCACTCAAGGAACAGCACGAAGAAGTTGGCAAGTATAAAGGATCTATAGAACTTTGATGCATACATTACGGTATCAATACCCCGTCGTACATTATAATACTT